CACTCGGCTCTACGGACTCATCCGAAGGCAGAGCTGAGAGCGAGTGGCGAGTAGACAGAGGAGTGGCCTGAGGCGAGGAGTACGTGAAGCCGAAGCGCTGAAGGACCTGCTGCACCATGTGTGACTGAGTCAGGGTAATGGTGCGCTGTGCTCTGTCCGGGGTGATCTGCAAGCCAAGGTAGCTGCGCAGTTCACCCAGGTCTGTGCACGTGTGTCTCTTCTACAGCTCGGACTTCACGTGGGCGAGTCCAGCAGTGTCAGCTGTGGCAAAGACCAAGTCGTCGACGTACACGAGGATGTAGAACGGTGGCAAAGAGGTGTCGGTGCGCAGAAACAGCGACGGGTCGGCAGTAGAAGGAGCAAACCCAAGAGCCGCAAGTGTAGTCCTCAGTGTGTCCTGCCACTCACGGGGCGCCTGGCGGAGACCGTAGAATGGCCGCCGGAGGCTCCACTGGGTGCCAGGAAGAAAAGACCCAGTGAAGCCAGGTGGGCGACGCAGCCAGATCTCCTCGTGCAGGCTGCCCTGTAGGAAAGCAGTGCTGAAGTCAAGAGAGTGAAGCTCGTAGTCACGGTGAGCGGCTATGTGCAGCAGCACCCGAAGAGTGGTCATCTTCGGGGTGAAAGAGAAGGTCTGAAAGTAGTCAACTCCCTGCCGCTCAACTATGCGGCTAACCACACGCGGCCTGACATTGCCTTTGCTACATCCAGGCTTGCGAGTGTGGTTTCACGCCCCAGTCATGAGCAGCTGGAAGCGGCCAAGAGGTTGGTCCGCTATGTGAGTGCAACGGCATCAGTGGGTTTGGAGTACAGTGCTGTGCGACAGAGGCTATAGAGGGGTGCAGCTGATTTGAGCAAGGGGGAGATGCGCTTGACTTGCTACACCGACGCTAGCTTCAACTCAGTGAAGACAGATGGCACCAGCATTGGAGGCTATGTGTGCCTCTTTGGAGGTGGTGCAGTGAGCTGGCGCAACAAGAAGCACAACGAGGTGGGGTTGTCCTCGTGTGAGACAGAGTACATGGCCCTGCATCATGGGGCAAAGGAGGTGGTGTGGCTGAGGCGTTTGTTGGAGGAAATCGGAGTGTGTCAGAGGGAGCCGACTGTGATTTTCTGTGACAATGAGTCGGCGGTGAAGCTTGCGAAGAATGCCTGTCTTCATGGCTTGACAAAGCACATCAGGCCAAAGTGGCATTGGACAAGGAGGCTCCTGGACAAGGAGGTGCGGCTGGAGATTGTGAAGACCCAGCAGCAGGCGGCTGACATTCTCACCAAACGCCTGGCAGAACCTGAGCATTGGAAGGGCATGAAGCTTGCGGGAATGAGTGTGCATTGAGGGTGCATGCTTGAGTTATGGCATGTGGGATGATGGTTGGCAGCCAGAGGGGGAGTTTGTTGTGTGATGCAACCATATGCATTCACGTCTGTCTGTCTCCCATCATGTGTTTGTGCGTTGCATGCGTGGTGTGAGCGTGTGCAAGAATTTGTGTTTGATGTGGTTTGTTTTTTCAGAGTGAGTGTATGTTATTTGGCTTGAGCAGATATCTGAAGTGATTCCTCTACTCAAGAGCTTTACGACGAACCAAAAATCGTCGCGATCGGAGCACAACAAAGAAAGTTACGAACATTGGAGTTCGTATGCTTATATATTTTGGTTGCAGCTACTTTGGGAAGTTGTGGCATTGACTAAATATGGGGTGTGGGGGCTGGGAAATTCGAACCCATCACTGTAGACACTTGCCAAGTGGTTGGGTGAAACCAAACCAGGTTGGCAAGTGTGGCCAAGTTGGGCAAGGTGGATGGCATGGGTTGGGAAAGTGACAAAAGTGAAAGTGGGGTTGCCTATGGAGAGGGGAATTGTGTGGCATGGGGTTTCCTTGGTTGGGGACTCTCTTGGGACCTTCCCTCTCGTCCTCCTCATCCCATCCCACCTAGTTCATTGCCACTCCAACTCTCTTGTGTAGTAATTGTGAACTTGTGAGTTAATTGTGATTGAGTTAAATTTATGTGGCAGCATACCCCCTAGTGCGCCAAAAAGCATAACTAGAGATATTCTTCATATTTTGATACGATTCAAATTGGGAAATGTAGCCTCGGTGTAGGGCTACATCATAGTCGAATTTCGTGAGATTCTAACAGTGCACGTTTCGTCGACAACGTTTCTTGTGAAGTCGACGTTTCTGTCCAGAAAATTGAGACCAACGATTTTGAGAAATTTGAGTACCTAATCTTCATAGACTCCGTCCTTAGTCTGTAACACAAATTGAGAGGAAGTGGTCCCTGACTAAGCGAAGGGAGTCAAGGAGCCGGGTGACTATGTAGTAGAGGGTGATGTACATGGAGGGGGGGTTCTTGGCGCAGAACTCAGCAGGAAGCGCATCGCGGTAGCGGGTGTCACTAGTGCAAAGGTGCGTAATGAGGTTAGCGACTGTGGGAAAGGCGGTGAGGTCAGGGAACAGGTACGGCAGTATGAGGCGGCTAAGAGCAGCAATGACAGGGGAAGAGTAGCGAGCAACGACAGCGTCGTACAAGGTCGTAGCACTCTTATACTGACTAAAATGCGCACGCTCAGTGGTCGGTAAGTGGCGACGCACAGCAAGACGGGCAGCAGCATCGCGTGTGGCCCACAGTGAGCGAATAGTGTTGTCAGCATCAGCAGGAGGGGCAGGAGAGGCACCAGAAGTGAGGTCAAAGAGGGAGAGTCCGTCTGCCCTATCGCACTGTAGGAAGAGCTGCAGATCATCTACCCAGACCTCAAAGTCAACAGCCCGACCCTCAGCATCAAAGGTAAGGACACTGGGGGTAGCCATGATGGCAGGAGTCTAGTGGTGAGAGCTGTAGACTAAAGGCAGCCCAATGGCAGGGGCGCTGCTCGAAGTGCTCTTACCAGTTCGGGTGGGTAGTGCCGAGGTGCACCGATAGGGACAGGGCCGCAGCTGCGGCGGCTCGGCGGCGGCGGCTCGGCTGCTCAGCGGCTTGGCGTCTCGTCGGCTCGGCGGCGTGGCGGCTCGGCGGCTCGACGGCTCAGCGGCTCGGCAGCTCGGCGGTGCGGCGGCTCTGCGGCTCGGCGTGGCGGCGCGACGGCTCAGCGGCACGGCGGCTCGGCGGCTCGGCAGTGAAGGGGCCGGGGAGGAGCCGTAAAGGGGCGGCGACGGGGCCGCGAAGGGCGTCGACGAGGCCGCGGGTGGGCGGCGATGGGGCCGCGAAAGGGCGGCGACGAGGCCGCGAGAGGGCGGCACTGGGGCCGCGAGAGGGCGGCGACGGGGCCGTGAAGGGGCGGCGACGGGGCCGCGAAAGGGCGGCGACAAGGCCGCGAGAGGGCGGCACTGGGGCCGCGAGAGGGCGGCGACGAGGCCGCGAGGGGTGGTGGCTGGGCCGCGAAGGGCGGCTACGGGGCTGCTAGGGGTGGCGACGGGGCCGCGAAGGGCGGCGTCGGGGCCACTGAGGGCGGCGATGGGGCCGCTAAGGGCGGCGACGAGGCCGCTAAGGGCGACGACGGGGCCGCAACGGGCGGCGACGCGGCCGCGTAGGTGGGGCCGCGAGGGGCCGCTAAGGGTGGCGACGGGGCCGCTAGGGGCCATGAGAGGGGCCGCTAAGGGTGGCGCGACGGGTCGCTAAGGGGAGGGCGGCACGTAGGGCGCGCCTTGGTCAAGGTCGACTCGATCTCAGGGCAGGATTTTTTTTTTTTTACTCGATTTTCAGTGGTGGGCCCTAGGAAAAATTCCCACTAGGGAACGTGCTCTATACCATGTCAAGAAATGAGGAATGATGAACTAGGAAATGAGTTGGGTTCAAATATGAAACCCTAGAAAACTGTACCCCATACTGTCTACCCCACTACAGCTTAGAAAGACTATAGCATATAAGTTCGACATGCAGATGTGGTCGTGGCATGCCACGAGAACGGGTGGATGGACGTGGAGGGTGTCATTCAATGGATTGAGGAGTGCGTCAAGCCCTACTTACAGCCCGGGTTTGAGAGGCATGCGCGGAGCTCGATGCTCGTACTTGATTCCTACAGAGGTCACCTCACCGAGGGGGTGAAGGAGAAGTTTGGTGAGCTCTACCGCGTGCCGGCGGTCATCCCGTCGGGCTGCACGGAGGAGGTACAGCCCCTTGACGTCTCCATCAACAAGAGCTTTAAGGCGAGGCTCTGCCAGCAGTTCAGAAGTGGTTTCAGGAAGATAGCTTAGAACAACGAACCAAAGCAAGTTCGGCAGCGACACGATTAATCAGTATCCTAGTTAATTGTCCCAACTTTGTTGTGCTAACTGGATATTATGTGTTTGTGCTCGTGCAGAGAACTTGAAGAAGCCGCCCCCAGAGGTGGTCGTGAGGTGAATCTCACGGGCCCGGAAGGCCGTGCCCGCCGACCTCATCAAGCGCACCTTCCTCACATGTGGCATCAGCAACGTGCTTGACGGCAGTGAGGACAGGCTCACCATGGCACACAGGCGGAGCCAGCTGACAGCGGAAGTGGACGTCGATGATGCCATCACCGCTGATGGCTTCTTTGGCAACAACTTCAAAGAACCCGAATCTGACGAGGAGGAGCGGTAGATTTTACTAGATGGTAGATAGGCTAAACTACGAAATGTGTAGTTAGAAAAAACTGTCATTGATGAAATTGTAGGTGAAAATTTTATCATGTTAATGTTTAGTGTTACTTGTTAGTGTTTTTTTTTCCTTTATTGAGACATCCAGAACATTAAAGGGGTGCGCTTATAAAAAGTACAGCCTCCAGAGGGGGTGCGCTTATAATTGAGGTTCGGCCATAAGTGAGGAAAGTTACGAACGAGAAAATGATTCCATTGAGCAGCATGAGGAGTACAAGTACCAAACCCTAAAGTGTTGTACCCCATATAAGCTGCCCCACTACAGCCTACACAGACTATAGCATATGTGTTTAACACACCCCCATAGGCAAAGTGGGGGAGGATAAGGGGTCACAAGACCAGTCAAGCAAAGCAAGGCAAAGCAAGCTCAGGGTGGATCACTAATAGTCACAGCTCCACCTCTGCCGCCGCTACCTCCACCACCGCCTCCACTTCCGCTACCCCCGCTCGCACCGCCACCACCGCCACCTCCTCTGCCTCCACTGCCGCCACTAGCGCCCCCACCCCCGCCACCACTCCCACCGCCACTACCACCCCCTCTTCCCTGCCTCCATCGCCTCCTCCACTGCCCCTGCCACCTCCTCCAGCGCCCTTGCCCCCCTTGCCCTTGCCTGAGCGGCGTCTCCCGCTAGGGGTTGACGCCGCGCTGACTGACTCAAGACCAACGAGGTCTGCCACAGCAGCAGAGGCAACAGAGGGCAAGAGTGGGGAGGGTGAGCACCCCTAAAAGAGAGGGGTACAAGGGTCACCACGAGAGGCTCATACAGCAACTATACCCTTCTCTGCTTCTAGGAGGCGCTCCTCGAGGAGGTCAACGGTGAGAGTGGTGGGGCAGACAGAGAGGAAGTGTACCCTGACCGAACGAAGGGTGTCAAGGAGCCGCGTGACTATGTAGTAGAGGGTGATGTACATAGGGGGGGGTTCTTGGCGCAGAAGTCAGCAGGAAGCGCAGCGCGGTAGCGAATGTCACTAGTGCGAAGGTGCGTAATGAGGTCAGCGATTGTGGGAAAAGCGGTGAGGTCAGGGAACAGTTTCGGCAGTATGAGGCGGCTAAGGGCAGCAGTGGCAGGGGAAGAGTAGCGTGCAACTACAGCATCTTACAAGGTCTTAGCACTCTTGTACTGACTAAAATGCGCGCGCTCAGCAGTAGGCAAGTGGCGCCGCACAGCAAGGCGGGCAGCAGCATCGCGGGTGGCCCACTGTGAGCGAACAGTGGGGTCAGCATTAGCAGCAGGGGCAGGAGAGGCACCAGAAGTGAGGTCAAAGAGGGAGAGACCGTCTGCCCTATCGCACTGGAGGAAAAGCTGCAGGTCATCTACGCAGACCTCAAAGTCAACAGGCCGACCCTCAGCGTCAAAGGTGAGAACACTGGGGGTGGCCATGACAGCAGTAGACCAGTAGAGAGAGCAGCAGGGTAGGGTAGTGCAGGGGCGGAGGCGCTGCTCTTACCAGACAGGTAGGGCGGGCCGAGGCAGACTGACAGGGACAAGGCCGCTACTGCAGTGACTGCGGCGGCTCGGCAGCGGCGGCGTGACGGCTCGGCGGCTCGGCTGCTCGGCGGCTCGGCGGCTCGGCAGCAGGGCGGCTCGGCGGCTCGGCTACTGGGCGGCTCGGCGGCTCGGCTGCAGGGCGGCTCGGCTGTAGGGCGGCTCGGCTGCTGGGTGGCTCGGCGGCTCGGCGGCTCGGCTGCAGGGCGGCTCGGCTGGGGCTGTGAAGGGCGGCGTCGAGGCCGTTGAAAGGGGGGCGGCGACGGGGCCGCAGTAAGGGGCGGCGACGGGGCCGCGGTAAGGGGCGGCGACGGGGCCGCGTAAAGGGGCGGCGACGGGGCCGCTGAAAGGGGGCGGCGACGAGGCCGAGGAGGGGCAGCGACGGGGCCGCGGAAGGGCGGCGACAAGGCCGCTAAGAGGCGGCGTCAGGGCCGCTGAAAGGGTGGCGACGAGGCCGCTGAAAGGGTGGCAACGGGGCCGCTGGAAGGGCGGCGACGGGGCCGCTGGAAGGGTGGCGACGGGGCCGCTGAAAGGGCGGCGGCGAGGCCGCTGGAAGGGCGGCGATGGGGCTGCTAGAAGGGCGGCGACGGGGCCGCTAGAAGGGCGGCGACGGGGCCACTGAAAGGGCGGCGACGAGGCCGATGGAAGGGCGGCGACGGGGCCGCTTAAAGGGTGGCGACGCGGCAGCTGAAAAGGTGGCAACGGGGCCGCCGAAAGGGTGGCGACGGGGCCGCTGAAAGGGGGGGAGGCGGCGATGGGGCCGCGAGGGCGGCGCGACGGGGCCGCGAGGGGGGTGCGACGGGGCCGCAAGGGGCCACTGAGGGGCCGTGAGGGCGGTTCGACGGGGCCGCGAGGGCGGCGCGACGGGGCCGTAAAGGGGCCGCTAAGGGACGGCGACGGGGCCGCTAAGGCGGGCGCGACACTAGACGCGCTTCGGGCAGGGGCGGCACGCGCCCCGGGTAGGAAAAAAAAGTCGTGGTGGGCCCTAGGAACAGTTCCTACGAGGGAACCTGCTCGATACCATGAGGAAAGTTACGGACGAGAAAATGATTGCATTGAGCAGCATGAGGAGTACAAGTACCAAACCCTAAAGTGTTGTATCCCATATAAGCTGCCCCACTACAGCCTACACAGACTATAGCATATGAGTTTGACAATAAGCCCCATGCTCCAAATAGAAGCGCCGGTGCCCTTAATAGGACGGCGCATGTATCGGGGAGCCATACAGGCAAATGCATGAGCAAATATTTATATAGCGAAATCATCACGGCTCTGATGCCGAGGTTGGGAAATGTCGAGGCGTAGAAACGGGTCTCACGTTACCTGCTGAGCCGGGTGATTTTAGGCACGATAGTTCGTGGTGTTGGTGTCAAATGATGTATATGCAATATATGTTTAGGCTATAGTGGGGTAGCCAATATGGGGTACAACCCCTTCTAGGGTTTCATATTTGTACCCAACTCTTTCATAGTTCATGTCAGAACATATCTATAGCTTATACTGCTGTGTAGGCTGTAGTGGGGTATCCCATAGGGGGTACAACCCAGTTAGGGTTTCATATTTGTACTGCTTTCATTCATAGTTCACTCATTCCTGCTTACTCTTTTCACATGGTATAGAGCTAGGTCCCTCCAGGACCGAAATTTTTGGGCCCACCGAAGCGCGCCCCCGAGGCGCGAATTTTTTTTAGCGACCCCTCGAGTTGCTCTCTCCTCTGCGGCCTCGCCGCCCACTCTGTCGCGGCCCCGCCCTGCTCCTTACGCGGCCCCGCCGCCTGCTCCTTACGCGGCCCCGCCCCGGCCCTTACGCGGCCCTTACGCGGCCCCACGCCAGCCCCTTACGCGGCCCTTACGCGGCCCTTACGCGGCCCCGCCCCGGCCCTTACGCGGCCCTTACGCGCCGGCCCCTTACGCGGCCCTTACGCGGCCCTTACGCGGCCACGCCGCCGGCTCCTACGCGGCCCCTCGCCGGCTCCGTACGCGGCCCAGCCCCGGCCCTTTCGTGGCCCCGTCCCCGGCCACTACGCGGCTCCGCGCCGGCTCCTACGCGGCCCTTACGCGGCCCCGCACCGGCCCCTTACGCGGCCCTTACGCGGCCCTTACGCGGCCACACCGCCGGCCTCCTACGCGGCCCTGCCCCGGCTCCTATCACAGCCCCGCCCCGGCTCCTTCGCGGCCCTGCCCCGGCTCCTACGCGGCCCTACCGCCGGCCCTGACGCGGCCCCGCCCCGTCTCACTTCTACGCGACCCGAGCCGCCTGTCACCGAGCCGCCCGGGACCCGAGCCGCCCTGCAGCCGAGCCGCCCGGGAGCCGAGCCGCCCGGGACCCGAGCCGCCCTGCAGCCGAGCCGCCCGGGAGCCGAGCCGCCCTGCACCCGAGCCGCCCTGCAGCCGAGCCGCCCGGGAGCCGAGCCGCCCTGCACCCGAGCCGCCCTGCTGCCGAGCCGCCCGGGAGCCGAGCCGCTGTACACCTGAGCCGCCCAGTCGCCGTTCTGCTTTTCTGTCGAGCTGCGCGACCTGCCCTGCCTGGTGAGCACAGTCCCACTGTCACTGCGTGCTCTCCCCCCTACTGCTTGCACTGCTTCACAGTCGTCGTCATGGCTACCCCTAGTGTCCTAGCTTTTGACGCTGAGGGTCGCGCCATTGATTTTGAGGTCTGGTTAGACGACCTGCAGCTGTTCTTACAGTGCGACAGGGCTGACGACCTTTCTCTCTTTGACCTCACCTCTGGCGCCTCTCCTGCCCCTGCTGCTGATGCTGATCCCGCTGTCCGCTCTAAGTGGGCCACCCGCGATGCTGCTGCACGTCTTGCTGTGCGTCGCCACCTCCCTACCTCTGAGCGTGCGCACTTTAGTCAGTACAAGAGTGCTCAGACCTTGTACGACGCTGTAGTTGCGCGCTACTCCTCCCCTGCCACTGCTGCACTGAGCCGTCTCATGCTTCCCTACCTCTTTCCTGACCTCTCTGCCTTTCCCACTGTCGCTGACCTCATTACGCACCTCCGCACTAGTGACACTCGCTACCGCGCCGCCCTTCCTGCTGAGTTCTGCGCTAAGAACCCCCCCCCCATGTACATCGCTCTCTACTACGTAGTCGCACGCCTCCCTGACTCCCTTCGCGTCGTCAGGGACCACTTTCTCGCAGTCTGTCCCACCACTCTCACCGTCGACCTCCTCGAGAAGGCCCTCCTTGCAGCGGAGAAGAGCATAGTCGCTGTAGGTGCTTCTCGTGGTGACCCTCGCACCCCCATCTTTGAGGGGTGCTCTCCTTCCCCCTTGCTGCCCTCTGTTGCCTCTGCTGCTGCTGCCGACCTGCTTGGTCTTGAGTCGGTCGGCGCGGCGTCTGCCCCTAGTGGGAGACGTCGCTCCAGCAAGGGCAAGGGGGGCAAGGGCGCGGGTGGAGCTGGAGGGGGCGGTGGCGGTGGCGGCGGTGGCGGCGGAGGGAGTGGGGGTGGCGGCGGGGCTAGTGGCGGGGGTGGTGGTGGTGGTGGCGGCAGCAGCGGCGGAGACGGTGGTGGTGGTGCCAGCGGTGGTGGTGGAGGCAGCGGCGGAGGTGGAGGCGGCGGAGGTGGAGGCAGTGGAGGCGGCAGCGGAGGAGGCAGTAGTGGTGGAGGAGGTGGAGCTGGTCGGGGTGGTACCCAGCAGCGTAGCGGCGGTGGTGGTGGCCAGCGCTCGCACCGGCAGCAGCAGCAGCGCTCGCGGGACATCCCTTCGCCTCAGCAGCTTCGTGAGTGGTACGCTGGGCGTCAGAGGGGTGGGGGTACTGGTCCCTGCACCTACGTTCTTCGTTCCGGCGACCGCGCGGGTGAGCAGTGTGGGGGTGCCCACGCCACCCAGCGCTGCTTTGGCCGCCTGACGGACGCTTGGCGTCAGCAGTTCCCTGGGGCTAGTGAGATCCCTCGCTGGGATGAGCTTCTCAGGGCTGGTGTAGCGATCTTTGATCTTGATTTTGATGCTATCCTTACTGCTATGTATGTTGTGGATTATAGTGAGGAGAATGAGGGTTACCGGTGTTTTCAGCCCGACCCGGGCATTGGTACTGCTGCGCTAGGTGCTTGTGAGGCTGCTGCTCTAGGTGCCAGTGCGTCTGCGCTCTCAGGTACTGGTGAGACTGCGCTCTCAGGTACTGAGTCGTCCTCGTCCTCCCTCACTTTCACGCTTGACTCCGGAGCTTCTCGCTCCTTCTTTCGAGACCGCACTACCCTTTCGCCGCTCGCCAGGCCGGTTGCGGTCTCCCTTGCTGACCCCTCTGGGGGTCCTGTCCTGTCTCACTTCTCCACTGTCCTCCCGTGTCCGGCTGCCCCTTCGGGCACCCTGTCGGGTCTGTACCTTCCCTCGTTCTCTACGAACTTGGTGAGTGGAGCGGACCTGCAGGATGGGGGTGTTCACCAGTTCACTCCTGCGCGTCAGAGGGTGACCCACTGCACGGAGGCTCGCACAGGCCGACACCTGGCCACGTTCTCACGTCGGCCGGGGTCGAGTCTCTACACCCTGACCGTTGAGTCTCCTCCTGTCCCTGAGTCTGGTCAGGTGGCTGCGTCGGGTCAGGTACTTGCTGCTGCGTCCCGGTCAGGTCCTGAGTCTGCCCCCTGTTCTTGTCGCCTCCTGTCTCACGAGACTCTCCTGTGGCACCACCGTCTTGGCCACCCCTCCTTGCCCCGTCTTCGGAGCATGGCTTCCCGTGTCCTTGTCTCTGGTCTTCCCCAGTCTCTCCCTCCTCTCCCCTCCGGGCCAGGACCTTCCTGTGTCCCCTGTGTCGAGGGTCGCCTCCGGGCTACTCCTCACTCCTCCCACTTCCCCCCGACAGAGGCTCCCCTGCAGACGCTTCACATGGATGTGTGGGGCCCAGCCCCCGTCCGTGGGCAGGGTTACGAGCGCTACTTCCTGTTGGTGGTTG